GCAGCCTGGGGCTTCCCGCCGTGCTCTGCCTCCCCGCTTCTGTTTGGTGCCCCTCGCAGCGCGCGACGCTGCGCCTGCAAAAGCAGCGGGTGCGGTTCCCATCGCTGTGTTATCCGTGAGCTCGCTAAGAGAAAATGAGACCTGACCCCTCTCACAGAGCTCACCAAGGGAAAATGAGATGTGGCCCCTTGCCCGAACCGTTCGGTCCCGACTGTCGAGAGCAGCCCTGGGTAGAGGCAGACGAGGCGCAAAGCGAGGAGGGGAAGCCGTGGCATTTTGCACGTCGCAGTGTGGTGGGTTTGCATCTGGGACGTGCCAAGGTGGCCACGTGGGCCGGGTCAGGTGGCAGCGGTCATGATACCTTCCCCCTTTTCCAAGCCCCACGCTTTTCCAAGTCAGGGAAGAGTCGTAGAAATCATGAGGTTCTCAATGATAATTGAGGCTATTTTGGTTCCCTGTCTTGATTACAAGTGTGGTTGTTGTTGGCAAGATTTTCTGTTGTCCGTGCGCTACACAGGCAGCTTTCACCCAGGGCAGCACTGGGGTCCCAGAGCCTCCCGTACGCTGAGGCAGGAGCTGAGATGCTCCAAATATTTACTGTTGGCAAATACGAGTTTGAGAACAGCTGTGACAATGCCATAATCTCGATGGCGTGACTGGTATTTTAGACACCCGTACCATCCAAGAATGATGAAGAAGATGCACTCGGACAAAATAACACAGTCTTTTGACCAAAACACACAAATAACTGCCTCTATCAAGACTAGACTTTGTGTTTTCCTGCAGCAGAGTTCATAACTCTATTTGAGGGTGCGCGTCTGCCTAGGCTCGGCGCTTTGTGCTTTGCAGCCCGAGGGCTGAACATCTTCCTTCAAACAGATCTAAGGGCTGCAGTCGGTACTTTGAGTGAGATCCCGGCGCGCGTGGCTCCCTTTGCATGACGCGAGCTGCAAGGCGCGGGGCAGCCGCCCACAGTTTTCCTGCCGGGGGTTCCCTCGGGAGGAGGAAAATCTCCAGCGGGTGCAAAGCTGGCGTAACCAGCTCCTTCAGCCCTCGCCGCCCGGCCGGCCGGACCCGCGCTGGGT